AACATGTGCAATATTTGGCCTTGTACATACCATTTCATAAATCAAAATATCCACAATAGATGCATAAGGAATTTTTTCCATATCTATTTTTTCATATTCACTAGAAGGATTTGCTTAGAACTTAATTTATAATGAGTGGCAAAAGAGGAGTGATTGATGCCTTAGTTTTCTTGTGACATATAAAGTTTATTCTCTTTTCTTTCACGCAAAATTATTATATCAAGAACTTGTTTAGTTTCTCCTATGTCTTTCATGGAAAAATACTCACCAGTTGCTTCTTTAACCTATCAATATGCAAAATATCTTTACAAATATTAAGCATGACATAAACATATAATATTCAGATATGGAATCAGCATTAGAAAATTTTCTAACAAAAACACAATGATTAGAAGTAGTCTTCATGTATCCTTGGTCTTACATAATTGACTCAAAATTCTTGTACCACTTCCTTGAAGTTCGCTACAAATCAGATAGACTACTTATAAGTCACCACACACAATCTTCATTTCCTTCAACAAGAACAACATTAGGTTGTCTCATATGTATTTCTTCCTCCAAATCACCACAAAGGAAGGCTATTTTCACATACATTTTCACTATCTCTAAGTTAAGTGTAATTGGCAAACTCAACACAATTCTAATTGATGACATTTTTATCATATGTGAGAAAATATAGTTAACATCAACACCTTTTGAGCATTTAAAGTTACTTTCATGTTTCACTCTATAGATCCACCTATTTTTCGAATCCCCTTTTCCTTTTGGCAATGTCACCAAATCATAAGTCTGATTATCATGGAAATGTTTCATTTCATCTTGCATTGCATATAACCCACTTTTAATTTTATTCACCTTCCATGGCTTCTAAAACACATTCAAATTTACCTTCATTTGTTAAAGCCACACATTCATTAGAATCATATGCTATAAAAGGTTTTCATGGTCTATTTGATCTCATAAGTAGGGATTGACATGATTTGGAATCATCACCATGATTTTCATCTTCTCACATATCATGTTCCCGACCATCATTATCACCCGTTTGAAAATTTGAATCATCTCCAAACTGTTGATCACCAACATAATAATAAGGCTTACTATTTTCAACATTTCCATAAATAGTATCTAAATTAGGATCAGCTAATTGAAATGGATCAACATTAGAAAAGATTTTATCTTTCTCATGCATAGTGCTTTTCTCCCCCTTATGAATGTTTTCAATGGTTTGGCCTTCTATGAACACTACATTATATATCCTAATAAGCTTTTTACTTATAAGATCATACAACTGTAACCAAATTCATCTTGGCCATAAATAATAAAGATACACTGCTTTTATTTTGCATCCAACTTAGATCTTTCATCCTTTGGAATATGCATAAAAGACTTACAGCCAAAAACTCTCAAATGATCATAGTGGGTAATCTTCCCAAACCAAAATTTATCACGGACCTTAATATTCAAATCCATGTTAGGATTAAGATTTTAAAAAGCACAATTATGCATAATGCCTCATGCCAGTAATATTTATGAAACATGGCTTCAAAGAGCACACACATCACTCTCTCACCTAGTGTTCGATTCATCCTCCATACTAAACCATTCCTTTGAGGAGTTTTAGGAGGATTATTTTCATGTGCAATACTCTGCTTCTTGCAATAGACGTCAAAGAGTCCATGGTACTCATTATTGTCAGTACGAACACGTTTCAATTTATTACATGTATGCCTCTTAACCAAAGCATGAATTTTTTTTGAACTTTTCCAACACTTGATTTTTTTTCTCTTCAAAGCATAAAAACTTAGTTTTCTTCAACAATCATTACTAAAAGTAACAAAATATTGTGTACCACTAAAATATTTTACCTTTAAAGGTCCACAAACATGATAATGCACCAACTAAAGCAACTTTAACTTCCTTGAGAGTGGATGTCTTTTGAAGGATACTTTAGTATTCTTACCAACCATGCAATGACAATATTTCTCTAAATCTTCCTTATTCCATCCTAGAAGCACATCCTTTCAGGATAAACACTTCAACCCTTTCTTCCCGATATGGCTAAGCCTTTAATGTCGCAAAAATGCTTCCATATCCATAACATTGAAATTATCTTTAGAAACCAAAGTTTTTTTCTAATATAATTTATAAACTTTTTTCATTCTAGTCATAACCAAATTACCTTTGTTGAATTTCCACTTTCTAGAAGTAAAGTGATTATCAAAAACAACATCATCAACTATATACACATAAATCAAATTAAATTGAACATATAGAGCATGCTTAAATTCTTTAGTCAATAATTGCATTCCCATGTTGGTTTGCAAACAAACATCACCAAAACCAATTACGTTAGATACACCATCATTAGGCATCAATTCCAAAGTCACCTGAAGTATAAGAAGTGAATAACTACTTCCTTTGTGTAACATATAGTGCATCACCACTACCAATTATCCACATGGTCCCATTGGATACAAGATTAACTGACTCATAGTCACAAAAAATAACAAGATCATCACTAGTACCAATAATAACATGATCATCATCATTATCATCATCATGACCGCTTTTTTTGTGCTTACTCTTCTTGCCTTTACTATACTTTTTTCAAAGAAAACAATTCTTTTGTATGTTCCATGTTCTATGACAATAATGAAACTCCACATTCTTGTATCGACCCTAAGACTAACTTATGTTATTATCTCTACCACCCATTAATTCCTTTTCCAGACTTCTCCCTCTATTTTCAGTGACAAGTATTTTAGATTGAGATTAAGAACTTTGTGCTTTCCTTCTCATATCCTCATTAAGAACTCCACAATTAGTCATTTTCAGATAAACAACATCTTTAGGAGTTAAACTCGTTATAGAAACTTAAAATGTCTCTTAAGACTCTAGTAAAGATAACAATAGAAATGGTCCCAATAACTTATAATAAAAAAATTTATTCTCATTCCTGACATTGGATCAATGAGAACTTTAAAATCACTTAAGTAATATGAAATAAAAGTCTCATCCTTAAACTTCAAACTTATGAAGCTATTCAACAATAAAAATTTATTATTCTGTAATTTAGAGGCATAAAAGGACTTCACCTTCTTCCACAAGTTTTTTGCATTTGTATCATTATAAATATGATTATAAACATCATCTTTCACATATTTTCGAATGAAACCACACACTTATTAATGTTCAAATTCTCATTCTTTGTTAGATTTAAAATTTGGATCTTTAGAACCAAAAATAGGAAGATGCATTTTCTTCACAAATAACAAATCCTTCATCTATCACTTCCATAAATGCTAATTAATATCATTCAAGCTCACTGTCTTTATATTTATATTTCCTCAATCATTCAATCAAGTTAAACCAACCCCTAACCAAGAGCTCTGTCACTCTTATAGAAATTAACATAAAAAACATATTAACAAACAATACACAACAAATATAAAATTCTTAACTTGCAAGAATCTTTGAGGAGAAACAATAAATATATGACAACAACTAAAGAAAATAAAGAAACACAAAATCTTTAACATGGATAACCCCTCGAAGAAAGAGGCAAAATCATGGGTCGTTCAATCCAAACAAATAGATCCACTATGATTAAATGATGTTACAAACCAAAAGCTCTAATGTCACTCTGATAGGAATTAACATAAAAAAAAACATATTAACAAACAATACACAACAAATATAAAATTTTTAACTTGCAAGAATCTTTGAGGAGAAACAATAAATATATGACAACAACTAAAGAGAATAAAGAGACACAAAATTTTTAACGTGGATAATCCCTCAAAGAAAGAGGCAAAATCATGGGTCGTTCAATCCAAACAAATAGATCCACTATGATTAAATGAGGTTACAAAAAAGTGTCAAAATAATGCATAAATAGAATCAACAACCAGACAAAACAACAAAACACCAAAGCTTACAATTTGAGAATGAGAAACAAAGAATCTACAAAAAAATATGGTGCAGAGCAAACACGATATCTCTCTAGTCAGACATTGCAGTCATTGCTTCAACGGTGAAAATGTAGCACTATAACTCACAAACCTTTTGTTTAAAAGTTAGCTTGATCCAATGATTAACAAATCTAGAATCACTATTTTTTAGAACTGATTTGATAAAAACGAGAAAAACATTTCTCACTTCTTTTCTCACTAGTAAGTGATTTTCTCCTTTCTTTTATCTGTATTAACCCTATAATGAACATACTTAATATAAATGAGACACTTAATTAACATATTTGTGAAACACTTCTAAACATTTTATGTTCATATATATAGAGTTTGAAAGATTGAGAAACAATGGAGTAGAAAATATGATTTGTTTTTGGAAATTTTAGAGACTATTTTGTTGTAACTCATATGTAGTATCCTGTAACAATTTTTTGAAATAGTGAGCCGACGAAATTGGTCTCAACCCCAGAATTGATTGATTTGATCGAACTAAATAAAAAATATTTTTTGTATGCTTATCTTTTATCTTCCTCTTACTTATTATGAATTTGCGGAAACTATTTAACATATAAGTTTTTATTCGAAATCGTTTATTTTAGTTGTTAAGGTTCTTTGTAGTACTAATTATTATTCTTAACGTAATTAATATTAATTTTAGATTTTCAAAAAAAAAAAAAATTCTTATTGTGGTTAAACCTTTTAATTTCAGAGTAGATTTAACTAGATTTATGATATTTTTTTGTAGATAAGAGGAAAAGTTTGCATAAAACTGATTTATGAAACCTCCATTAAACTCTCCAATTCATAACTTTTCTACTCAATGTGGCCATACATGAATCAAAACAATCACTACAATCAAAATGCCCAAAACTTTCTTCTTTCTTTTGGGTACAAAATTCCTATGAAACAAACTAGTAATAACAACAAGCAAAGAATGTGAACAAAACTAAATCCAAAAAGTAGAATCAAATCCAATTCTAGCTAATCCAAAAACTGACAAAGAAAAGTAACATCATGGGCTAAATCTTTTCAGCATTTGGGAAGATCAGAGGGTGGAGGGGGCAGCTTCTGATTGTGTCCTTTCCCATCCTGAACAACCCATGCCATTTTCAGTCCCCAACTTGTATGCACTTCAAGATGACAATGCATGAACCAAACACCTATTCATTTATCATCAACAAAATATCAATGTCACCTATGAATCACAGACATAAAACATGCGACACCGACACCGATACATTGATACCAGTAATAATTTGAAAAATAAATCAATTAAACATAATCATAAGAGTCGGTGTAAGTTTCAAACACGAACACTGACACAAACACATCTTTTTTCCAAGGTGTTAGTGCTACAGAGAATGCGATAGAATGTGAGAAACATTAACCTTATATCAGCACTATATCAGATCTTTTTGTTACTCTAACATGATATGAAAGATATGTATTGATTAAAAAAGTTGGATTTAAATCTTTTCAAATGCTACCCACCTGGATTATCTGCAAGGAATCTCAAAGCAACCCATCCACCAGATGGAACACCAGCAGTGTTTCTCTCAGGAGGATCAACCAGATTGAACTTAGAAGGGTCATTTTTAGGGTCAAAGTTTCCATTCCCTTGACCAACAATAAAGAAGTTAAAACCATGTAGATGCAATGGATGACTCTCAGCACCAATGATACTTGTATCCTGCAACACCAACTCCACTTTGGTATGGTATGGCAAAACCACAACCTTTGTTCCACTAGTTACCATGATGTTCTTTGGCGGTGTTCCGGTGTAGTTGAATTTGAAAGCTGGATTAGAAGGAAAATCAGTAGTGAACACTCCTTTAGATTTGTTGAAAAAATGAGCTTGAAGTAAAGCAGTGTTTGGCATCACAAATGAAACATTGTTAATGGCTGCTGCTACCCTTGTGTTATTAGGTCCTTGACATGCTTGGTTTTTTGAACATTGGCTAATTCCTAAACCAACAGTGAAGAAAAAGTGTCTGTCAACAGTTTTCGGAAGTTTTGCGGGAAATCTCGAATTCGCCAAACTACGGAATTTCTTATTGAAGTTCATTGCAAAGACAGTGTCATTGAATTTAGGAAGTGTTGGTTTGAAAAGCTTAAGATTGTTTTTGTTTGGCTTAGTGTTTGAATGTGAGTGTTTCTTGTACTCCAAGAAACCTATTGCTGTTGTGTTGTCGAAAGACGCAGGACCTGTAGCATAAGGTCTTGAAGCTATGATGAATTTGGCATTTGGGGTTATGGAATTGGTCTTGAGAAGGACATTAGTGGTTTGGCCCGGCGTGATGAGTACGATGTTTGTTCTGAATGGCTTTACGTAGACAGCGTCGGCTTCAACAACATGGAGAGTGTGATTAGCAATGCTGAAAAACATCTCATCATTGAGTGCAGCATTGATTATTCTGAGTAGATATGTTTTTCCCGGCTGAACCTTGAGCTTGAAGGTATCTGCATTAATGAATGTAACCGCGTGTGTCAGTCAGTGCCACGTTAATGTCAGACACTGATATGTGTCAGACACCAGACACAATTTTAATCTAGAGTTTTGGTGCTACATACCTTTAGCTGAACAGTTGTTGAGAGGACCTGGAAGGCCATTGATGGTGTGAGTATCTGAGGTATTAGGTGCCAATCCTGTTTTTATCGCTTGATTAATAACAGCTTCTGTGTCTGCTTTCCACCATTCCCCTGCCATGTTATCAAGGTTAACATCATCATACTAATTCAACAAAAAAAAGTGTACACTTTATAATAAGTAGAGTTCTAACTTACCTAATACAATGGGAACTTCTTTAAAGGGATGAGGGAATGGATAAGGCACATGTTTTTTGGGAAGAATGACAATAGAACCATGAAGAGTAGACCTAAGCCATGAGATATGTGCATGCCACCACAATGTTCCTCTTTGACCTATGATTGTGAAGTTGTACACATAACTTTGGCCCGGAAGAATTGGACATTGTGTAATGTATGCAGGTCCGTCTGCCCAACTACTTCTTATTTGGCGAATTCCATGCCTGAAAAAATTTATTAAATCTTAATTGTGTACTAACATTGGAAAAACGTTTTAGATATTTGGTCAAATTTCGCAAAGAAGAGAGACACTTGTGTAAATTAATACCAATGAATTGAGATATTGTACTTCACGTGGTTAACCACTTTAATTACGACTCTATCGCCTTCTCTTGCTATGATTCTAGGACCTGGAAATTGTCCATTAACCGTTACAATGTTCTTTGTATGACAAAGCCTGGTTACGTTTTGCATTTTGATCTGCAAAAAGTAAAGAATATATTAGTATCAACAAGATTGAATTAAATGCACAAAAAATTAAAATGCAATACACATACATTAAACTTGTAATGCCTTGTTGTTCTAGCATGTGCTAGCAATGGCAATATCCACAAAGCACATAACACAATCAACATTGCTCTCATGAAGCTTGACATTGTTCTGGTTTATTGTTTTTTGATTTGGATGGAGAAAACAGCAAAATGATGCAACTTATATAGTAAAGATTTTATTAGTTTGATTAGATAATTAGGTGATTGAAAATGAAGTATTACAAATTTGGTATAACTTGAGCAATAATGTTGCAAGCTTTATTCACCATGCCACTTGCTTAAGAGCGTAGAGTATTTTTCAAGCTAGATTAAGATTTCATATTTTGGAACATCCTCTAACGATCTAACATCATTTTCCTAAAATGACCCTTATTAAGACAAGTTAACTACTATCTCACTAGATCTTAATTAAATCAACATAATAGATTCTTTTAATGTCATTTAATGAAAATTAATGATTCAGTCATAGAGATTGGACATTGACTAATCAAAAATTGAATTCTTGCTGTCGGATTTAACAGTTTGATTTTGTTTAGACAAATCAAACAAAATAGATTTAATTTTTTTAAAATGATTTATTTTAAATTAGAATTATTCGATCAAAATCAGATCAGATACGACTAAATGCGTAAATACACGATAATTTAACCAGAGAAAATGAAGGTCACACAAATCAAGTTAACTTTTACATGTTTATGTTTTTTTTTTACATTGGAACAGATTAGGTAATATAACTATTGGTGATAGATCAAGGGTCAATTTGGTCAAATCATATTATTATCCAATATTTTTCTTGATAGTTGGAGTGAGGAATAAAATAAAATAAATGTTGAAAAAGAAAAAGATTGATGAACTTGGTTGGGAGGTAAACTTCAAACATCTACCGTTAAAACTTGCTAATAAAGGAAGAAAAGGAAATTAGTTGCATGTTTCACAACCACATTGTATAGTTAGGAATGTCGGTTGTTAATTTTATAATATAAAAATCTAACAGCTTTTAATGTTATTCTTGTGGAAAGTGAAAGAACATTTCCCCTTCAGTATAAGCACTTATTTATGTAAGCACTTTTTTGTGTGGAAATGGATACAACCATTTGTTTGAATCTTTATTCTTTTTCATAGAGGACCATATTAACTTACTACTCCATATTAGCATATTACAAAATGTTTGAACTTATTTCTAAATTCATTTTCCTAACATTATTAATTTAATGTTGTTATATATAGTTTCTTGCAAATATCTAGAGAGGAAAGTACTTTAATTTAATATTTAATAATTTTAGAATATTTATAATATAAAGAATTAGGTCTATACATTTCTACACTTTCAATATCAATGGCCGACTCCATACATATTGGAATTAAAGACAAATTAAGACAAATTTTGCGCGGTTGTAAGAATAAATTGAAAAGTTTTGAAAATTTTAAAATTTTAAAATAATAATTTAAATAATTTAATTGAAATTAATTTTTTTAATAGAGAATTAAAATTATTCATTATTAAAATTTTAAATTATTTTATAAATTTTAAAAATTTGAATCAAATTTAAAATAGGAATAAATTTACCGTTTTTGAAAATTTAAAGGGATTAGTTTGTAAAATTTTAAAATTATGAGAGATGATTTGTAAGTTTTCAAATGTAGTGGAATTAATTTGTAAAATTTAAAAATTATTAAGAATTAATATATAACTTTTAGAAAATTCAAGGAGTCAATTCGGAAATTTTACAAAATAGGTAACATGAAAATTTGAAAGATTTAATAATAATCAATTTCACATTTAGAATGTACAAAGTGATAGAAAAATTTTCAAAATTTTCTCTCTTAAATGTTATTTAAAATTTTGTAATTTAAACAAAATATTTGATACATTTCTATCATTTTAAACATTTTCATTTTTTTATCCAAACAATAAATTTTGGTCAAATTGTTTTTAATTTCTTCAAAAACTTATTTTTCCTCTTTAAAATTCATCATCCAAACACAGTTTAAGAGAAATTTTTGCATCAAAAAAAGTGTAACATTCCAATTTATATACATCGGACCAAACCGACGAATAGACAATTAAAAAAAAAAAGAGGAGGAGAATTAAGAAAAACTAAAAGAGGGAATGCTAAAGCGGCCCCAGAAGAATTCCTCTCTAATAAATAATGCTAAGGATTCCACCAAACTACATCAATGATGTTATGGCCATGGTTGACCAACTTATCTTAACAAAAATTACCTTATCTCCGAGTATAAGAATGAACCAAAGATAGACTAAGAAATAAATTTTTATCTCATAGTCTAACTTTTATCCATATACCCCTATATTTTATAAAAAATACCTATTTTGTCATTGTATAATTGTAGCTAATTTATAATTTTAGCCTATGTGACATTATTATTTGTGTATATATAATACTGTAGCTATCAACTGTTGTATCCACTGAATATTGTAGTGCAGTGTGTGTGCAATTATTTTGTTGTAACCGTTTTAGTAGAGTAGTTGAAGTTTCTTATTCTCTTCTCGCTCTTCTTCTATCTTCATCTTTTTTTACTTTGTGCACCAATAATTAATATCTAGAAGTTTGATTCAGATCCACAGGAAAACACGAGTGAACGGTGAAGCGTTGTATGATTGATCTTGTTTCTTGAATTCGTGTTGAATTTCTTGATCAGAACCTTAACACAATCACATTTATTGATTCTGCAGAATTGGGAAACAATAGTGTTTGGTAAGATCTGAGTGAACTGCACGAGGTCAAAGATGAATGAAAACAGTAATTTGAGTACCAAGCTTCCATTATTTGATGGCAAGAAATGGAATGGTTAGATGATTCAAATGCGTGTGTTGTTTGACGCTTAAGATGTTATTGATCTTGTCAACAACTGTTACGTTTTGGTTGCACTTTCGGAAAATGCAATGGATGGGCAGAGGAATGCTAAACATGATCTGAGGATGAATGATTAGAAGGCGTTGTTCTACATCCACCAGTGTGTGAATGCGAACGTGTTTGAAAAAATTGTTGATTCGACGATGGTGAAGGTTGCGTGGGACACATTGGTATGGTGCTATGGTGCTGATGCATCAGTGAAGAAGGTGAAGCTTCAGTCTCTACGTAAATAGTATGAGAATCTCAACATGAAAAACAATGAAAAGGTACTTGATGACAATTTGTCGTTACATGATTTTTATGAGTATTTGCGATTAATTCGATGAAATCTCAAGTTAAAGATGAGATAAACATGAAAAAGCATGAAGAAAATGAAGAAGTCGAAGAAACAGAGCAAAGCCAAGAAATCGGGAAGAAATTGTAAAGAAACGAAAAATTTTCAGCACAATTTACATCTTGACGTCTATCTAGTAAATTGATCATATCTGGAGTTTTGTAACTCGTTTTGGTGCCCTTTTTTTAAATGAAGCAAAGATAATTATCTATATTCTAGAATAATCACACGCGTGATGGAAAGTATTGCACGCACGATACAATATGTGAAATATCGTGTGTGTGATGGTCCTTTTTCTGACATGTTTCTGATCCATTCTAACTGCTTTTAAAGGGGGAATTTGGCACGTTTTCAAGGGTTACAAAAATGGGTAGTTAGGGAACGAATTCAGAAGCACAAAGAAGATTTTTAGAGCATTTGAAGTCATTAGAGGTCATCTCCTCAAGGGACTTCTCATCTTATTTTCATCTATCAATTGTGGTATTCTTTTCTAAATGATGTGTAGCTAAATTCTCTTAGGTTAGGTTGTGTGATGATGAACCTTATTCAATCTTGTTGGCATTATATGTTGGTTTTACTTTGTATGAATCCTTTGAATTATAATTTTATTTAGTTGTTGTTTATGCTTAATGCTTTTTATTTGAGTCACTCTGTTAATCTATTGTTAGACACATAGGGATTCTTGACCTGTAACCTATGTGTTGGACCTAGGTAAACAGTTCTACCTACGCTGGTTGAATAGGGATAGGAAACCCTAAGTAGTGGCATAGGGATTTAACGGTATGTACATCGCCTAACACCGCTTACACTGGCAGACTAGGGATAGAAAGCTCTAAGTAGTTGTTAGTGAGTTATTTCGTGGGGGACTGGCTATAACAGTTTTGTTAATTCGCCATGAGATTATAAGGATAAGCCCATTCATATAAGGCATCATACATCAACAAGAAAGGATAAGGGGATTCTAAAATACAACCTGACCGCTTTCATGATCTTGTTTTCTCGTTTATTTACTTTTTTCACTGAAACTTGCAAAACCCCCATTTTTACTATTTGTATTTCAATTTGCAAAAATCATTGTCTTGTTTGAATATAATCCTTGTGGGTTCGATCTTTTTATTACCGCGACATTATCGATACACTTGCCGAGAAGTCATCAAGTTTTTAGAGCTGTTGTCGGGGATTGTTGATTGTAACAAGGCAACACTTGTGCAATATTTAATTTTGTTTTGAATTGTATTATTTTCATTTTTCTTGTAATTAGTTATTTTTGTTTCTTCTTAAATTTTCTTTCCCATTCTTTCTCTTTTTAGTTTTATTTTTGTTTAGTTTTTTTATCTAATACAATTCTACTAAGATATTTTTCTTTTTGTTTTGTCTGCAAGGTCAAGATAGTTATGCAAGGTGATGTATATGCTATGTTTCAAAAAGTTGAAGCTTTTACAAAGGAACTTCCATAAAAATCGCTCATTCTGGAAAATGCTAGAAATTATTTTGATCCAAAACTTTACGTCAACACTGATCATTCATGGGAAGAGGATTCATCATCTCAACCTAGAGAAACTTTGACTCGGTTTATAAAGACGACTTAACTCAATTTCGAGAAAATCAATAGGCATCGAAAAACCATGCTAAGTAACCTAGAAACATCTTTCAAGAAGTTAGAGATGCAACTTGGTCAATATCCAGCCAATTAGAATTAAAATTGAGACCTAGTGGGGATTTCTATGAAAGTAGGTTAGATAGTCTAGAGATGAGGAAATTGAGAGAGAAGTCAAACAAGAATATGAGGTATTTGATGAAAGAGGAGTTGAAAAAAACTTGACCCAATTCATAAGACTACTTAAATCAATCTTCGAAAAATCAACAGGCAGCAAGAAACCTTGCAAAGGGACATG